AGTTGTAGAATTTGTTCAAAGACTTGAAAATGTAGAAGATGTGAAAAATCGTAGAACAGACAGGAGCAGTAAACGTCTGCTCTCCCTTGCAACCCGGAAGAAGTTTGCTACCAAGTTTCTCAGATGGTGGCACCAGTGCCAGATTTGGTGACAATGTTTTACAATGTAAAGCAAATGTAAAGCAAAAGAATCTCACCATTCAAAGTGCATAGCCTGTATTTATAATGAATTCAGAGAGGGGGAAACTTATGAAACACAGTAAATGGAAAAAAAAAAATCTTCTGGAACAAGTTTCCAGCTCTTTTTATTTTGTCACTGTAGTGCTGTATAGCCTAGCAGTCAACATGATGATAAGATTAGGCTATTATATTTCAACTGAAGTATAAACCAATGAAGTGCGTACATTCTTTGCTGCTTGTGTATGTGATTCATCTGTAGCCTGGTTTTCTTCTGGAGAAGAATTTCTGCTCTTTGGTGATGTCTGTGTTGGACTTTATGTGCAGTTCAGCTCTCTCATGTATCTGGCTAGTGCCAGCTCATTTTTTAACTCAAGTAGCCTACTACTTAAAGAAAGACTTGATAGTGGGTTTTGACCACCACCAACTTCAAACTGGGACTTCGCTAGGTGTGAGCGAGGCATATGCATTAACTTAAGCGTTTGATCTGTTTAATCCACACTGAGTCAGACCTCCATGCAGCATCTCTCATCAGAACAGCTATCTGTCAGCAGGAGGACAGCACAGTCTTCTTCACCAGGTCGACTGACGGCAGAAATGTACTAGACAAAAATAGTCTTGATGTAGGCTCATCAGCAAGAAATCAGTAGTGTTTATATGTTCTATTTATTTTATTAAATTCCCCATCTTGGATAAGGGGGAAGTACAAGCCCAAATCAAAAAAAGTTGGGACAGTATGTAAAATTAAAACTGAAAATAGTGATTTTTAAATCATCTGTGTCCTGTATTACATTAACAATACAGCAGCGCATTATTTGATGTGGTACCTCATCAACTTTATTCTTTGTTCAAAATAAACTCACTTCAGTCCTGATGCTGCAACACATTCCAAAAAAGTTAGGATGGCTGCATTTCAGGGCCAGTAATGAGGTAAAACAATGAAATGATGGTTCCATTTGAAACGGGTGATGTCAACAGGTGAATGCAATCAGGATTTGGTACAAGAGTGACAGCCAGAAAAGGCCTAGGTCTTTAAAAGCAAAGATGGGCTGAGGACTGCTGGTTTGCCAACATACATATTGCCAACATGCATACATATTTTGAGAAAACTGACATGTTTAAAAACAATGTTCCTCAGACAAAAATAGGAAGGGATGTGGATATGACACCCTCTACGGTGCATAACATGATTAAAAGATTTAAGAAATCTGGAGGGATTTCAGAGCATAAAGGGCAAAGGTGCAAGCCTCAGCTGGATGACTGTGCTCTCCGATCCCACAGACATCAAGAATCGTCATCCTCTATAAGTGATATAACCACATGGACTCAGCATTACTTTGGCACACCTGTATCAAGCACTACAATATGTATATGTTTGAAAAAAAGTCAACTGCAAATAAATTTGGTTGCAAAATGCGAGTGATCACTCGCAGTCTGGAGCCCTGTAAGTGCTTAACACTTTCATTACACTATCTTGGATACAGCTCCACCAGCTCCTATTTTTATGAAGACATGTACTCTGTGACTAGCATCTTTCAGGGTTCACAAAAAAGTGCACATACTGTGTTTCATCAGTCCATCTAGTTTCCCCATCTGCACCACCTGATAGAAGCTACACTCACTATATTTTCCAAATTAATGGTGGATGGGTATGATCTCCTCTCCACCCAAAGGAAAAGCTACATAAAACGTCAGTGTGAAAATGCAAACGCTAAACATGACTGGCTGCTGCATCATTTTATACTTTTGTCCTTTAGGTATTTTCTACAAATTGGCTGCATAAACTTGATTTTTAAACACTTATCTTTAACAACTACCTCAAGTTCTCCTTGAATGACAGACAATCCTTCTTTTTTGAACATAGCAGCCAGTACCACACACCTTCCAATGCTATTCTGTTTACATTCTCCTGGGTCACGGTACCTCTTCATGCAAGCCATGAATGGTGGCAGGCTGTGATCTGCTGGTACCAATGTGTCACAGCATGCCAAGAATTTATGTCTCTATAATATTCTGACACAGTGATCCTCTTATCAGACAAAAAGAAAAATCATGTAGTCTGAACCAGGCATAACCAGATTTGCCTGTGTTCCACATATGCCGAATATGATCAGAACTGGGATACTCACCACCTGAGTGTATTTACATAAATATAGGTATTCAGCACATTGATCTGACCATAAAAAAATATTAATTCATGTGTCCAACCTACCTGTGTGCCCAGCCAGCTCACGGCTGACACGCACATTTCCCTCACGGGTCTTCAGGTTGTAGATTGAGCAGATGTTATCCAGGCCCCCACAGGCGACGTAGTTCCCGGAAGGGGCATAGGCGCACGTCATCACCCAGGAGGAACGCAAAGGGATGGCATGGACCTGGAAGAGAGGAGCAAGATTTAATATTAGATAGTATGTACTGAGAGGGGTGGTGGTGGTGGTGAAAGAGAGAGTGAGAGAGGGGAGGGCATGTGACAAAGTCTGTCTGCAATATTAACCTTTCAGGGGCACAACAGCCACTATAAATAGCATTACTTGGCACCCTCAGACACTTGTGAATTGTTTTATAATGAACTCAGCATTTTGCCTGTTTAAAAAAACAACAGCTGCCAGAAATGTGGAGCTCTGATAGTTAAAGACAGTGGTTAACCTTAAAACCATTTACCAGGTCATTTTGAAATCTGATGAATGTAAAACAAACACCTCTTTTCATATTTAGACTACTTCAACGTATTATTCTGGCATCAGTCAAGCCTCACATCTCTAGTTTTTTGCAATTTTTAAAAATCTTATTTGATGATGATCTTAAATTGTGGGTCTGTAAAGTTTAACGCCGCTTTTAAGACTAAAGCATAGTGAGTTCTGCCTTTGAGCAACATAGTATCACAGGTAATTAACCTCATAACAAAGACTGCTTTGCCTTTTTGGTTGTAGAACAAACAGTCTTTGGGCAAGCTGATGGACTAAGACCCCATTTATATTTGGTTATAAAATGCATCCTGGGAAATCGGATCACAAGTGGACAGCGCTAAATGCAAGTATAAACAACCACCAAGATGGATTGTATTCCTATCACTGAAGCCACATGCCAAGGTGGTCTGGGACGAATTTGACCACACATTGTATCGTTTGTAGTATAAATGCTAATGCTTCTTCAACAAGGCAGTTAAAGGAAAACATCATGAATGCAGGACGAGTGGTTGCTCTGTGAGCATTCAGACTGATCTGGTAAAGACGCAACTTGGGAGACTAGTGGCGCTCATCTGGTAACAGATTGTCATCATAATAATTGTGCCCATGGCCTTTTGATATTTAAGCCAGTGTCACAGTAGTGGTGAAATCTGAACACAAGTGGTCAGCTAGGCAACCTGGAGATACATGTATATTGACAGGTGTGAACAGTGATGTCTCTGCTGTCCATTTGTATTCGGATCACTGAGAAGCATTTTAATACCAAGTCTAAATAAGGTCTAAGTAATATATCATGGTAGCATCTTAAGGCTTCATTTTATTCTATTGCTATACCAACATTAGCTTTTATGGCTTCATTGCTGGATGATTTGAATTATTACTGCTCACCGAGTCATCCAAAAACCAAAAAAACCAAACACAAAGTAAAGAATTGTTGATAATGTGGTTTACACATTCAATAGCTGAAAACACCTGGAATTCTTTCTGAATTCAATGCATATTCTGAAATGTCCACACATACAAGATAAAAACTATACAAAGCTTGCATTTTTTCCTCCAAATGTATGATAAAATACATTACTAACAGGCCATTGATATTTTTTCAGTTCTCTGGACTATGGTACTTTACCTTGTTTGTGGTGTAGCTGTCCCAGATTATGAGCTTGCCATCCTGGGAGGCGCTGACCAAAAGCCTGATTTAAAAAAAAAAAAAGGTTAAGACAGCTCAAGCTACAGATTAATTTAAAATGATCAATCCCTTACAACATGAGGAAAGGTTTGATGTCAGTTGGAAGCAGCAGACAAATGAGAAGAACGACTATACACCGGTTGCAGTAACATATTGGGATTCAGTTCCTGACATCCGTGCAGTGCTAATGCAAATACCAGAGACTGACAATAAGAGGGGATGTCTTCTGTTTAACAACAATTAGGGGACTTCGTATAGCAGATGTATAAAGTCAGTATATGAATTGTATAAAAAGTTACAATCCATTCACTGTTATACCGCTCTTAAATTCAGCACCTTAACCTCAGTGATTATCTTCATTTTAAACCAAATATGACACGAGTACGGAGCCAACCAAAGGGGCTTGCAGACAATGTATCCTCGAAGCTACATGCTGAGATGTTCAACAAAGATGTGACTAGAGATTTGTTTTAGGGGGGAAAAACTCAGTCATGTTTATGAATTTAAACACTTAAAACTGTTGCTGTATCAATGTCTCAGTATTCTGCAGGATGGATCGTACTAATCCTAAAATGGGGAGCTGAGACAGATTCATTTCAGTCCAACACTGTGTAAATAACTTTCAAGATCATTTAATTACTTTCAACATTTTATGTCTCTCAAAAACACAACCTGCACAGTCTGTGTCATAAGCACACTTATTCTAACAGGAAGTGTTACAAACCCAGTTTTCACCTCCTGGAGGTGGCTGTCAGGTACCTCTGTTATCTGGGTGAATCCAACAAGAGTAACCACAGCAATGGCCCCAGTGCACACAGGAACAGGAAAAGGTGTGAACACACCAAAGCCTACTGAGGCTCTGCAAATCTTAACTACCAGGCCAATAGGAACACACTCACATGTGCACACTCCAACAAATAATAAGCCAGGGACAGAATGGCTTGTGCTGGGAATTCTAGTCTAAAAGAAAATAAAGTATCACCCTCCCTGGCTTAAAATGAACCATGAAATTCAAACAATCAAAGCCCATTGTAAGACATCCTCACTTTCTGGGAAGAACGGGGCTCTAACATCAACAATGCTGGGAACAGCAACCTCGTGTTGTGAAAGATTAACAGTTCAAGCCATGTTCAATTACTGTTTTCCTCTAATCATGTAAAACTGAGCAAAAACCAAATTTTAAAATCACAATTCTCATTAGAGTTGTTTGAGTAACTGTATGTTAACTACCAAGTGACAGAGCCAAATGCAGCTGTCATGTAAGGCTAAATTATACCCCAAAAAAGGAAAAGCCTAAGATGCACAGGCTCCATCCATCATTCTCCATTCCTGTTATGAACTTCAGTTAATGTATATGGCTTCTATGCTCAACCAAAAGTACTCTGGCTCCCAGGCCTAATTTATATACATGTTTCAAATTCACTGCAGTTGTGGTACTGGGTGTAATATGTAAAGATTATATACAATAAAATGATTGAATACTTTGACAATCTTAAGAAAAATCTTAATTGCAAAGCCAAGAAACAAAAGACAACTGAAACAGAACCTGTTTATCAGTCGAGCCATATTTTTTGAGGATCATGGTTATTAAGTTCTACACTCAAGTTCATTCTGTTAACACACACAAAGCACTACTGTACCACAGTTTTAGTAAAAAAAACAAAAAAAAAAAAACTAACTTGTTTACACCTGAAAAAAATGTTTGAAACTATAATGGACTGAGGGTATGTTTACACGGAAACGCTCTTGACTGTAAACGCCTACTTTAGTATGCATTTTGGCCTTCCGTTTAGACGGAAACAGGTTAGCCGGGTAGCGAAAACGGAGACTTTTTAAAACGGGTCCCAAAATGGAGAGTTTCAAAACGCCAGCTAAAACATTTTCGTGTCAACGTTATAATCCGCATATGTTTACGAAACGATGACGCCCCACGTCAGCTACTGATAGTGTCACACTGACTGCGACATCAACATAAACAATGGCAAACTATAGGCTTTCATGCTACACACAGATGCTAATGAACCTATTAGCATTAGTACAACTGCTCCTTTACTACTGCTGCGACCAACAAAATAATGTTGGTAACTTCGTAGGTCTCATGTTTTTAGATCCACCGTGGAGGCAAACTCCTCAGCAAGGAAAGTAGATATTGGCTGTCCTAGAAGTCGCTAATGACGCCATCGTCTTCAAGGGTAATGCGCATGCTCAGACATCGTTTTATTCGTTTTCACTGTTTTCATGTCAACGCAAATACTTCCCGTCTACACAGCAATCATTTTAACGAAACTATGCGTTTACAGTCAAGAGCGTTTCCGTGTAAATGTACCCTGAAATTAAACCCTTGACAGATTACGGTAGCGATATGGCTACAGATATTGAGTAATGTTGGATACAATCACTGAATGCAAACCTGTTTGTCCGATTAATAAGGTTCTGACATCAAAATTGTTTGCTGAAAAGATTGTTACTATAAAAGATGATCAGCAGTAACATAGTACTGTGCATCTGCCATATTAATTTGAGATGAACCGATTGATCATCCGAGATTGGAGATGGCCGGTTTTCTCAGTGATTGGCCTTGATCACTGACGGACTGATTGCTGAGATTTACAATTCTGTGCCAATCAGATTTAAATGCACAACAGTCCACAACATGCATGCAGTGACACCCACAAAAAGGATATGGCATGTGCAGCATGTAGAATCTTGTCTTCACCTCAAGCGAGGCTTGTGCTCATGTTCACTTGTGCATTGGAATCCCAATGTTTCTATTACCTGTTGCACCAATTTATATTTAGAGAAGTACAAATATTGCATTTCATTTTTAGTTGGAGGTTTGTGTAAAAAAGAGAAACGTGGAAATGTAAAACTTTAGAAAGAAAATCGGAAATCAAAAAATCAGAATTGGCAGGTCAACAAAAAAAAGTTGGTTCAGAAAACTGCTACAGTGCATTTCTAATATTAATAGTGACAAACTCAACTAGAAGTTGTTGATTCCTTTGCCATTCAACATATAACCTGGAAGTTGCATTTAGAAGTTAAATTTAGACAGGTCAAAACATCTTAATGTGACCTTTCTGGGTGGTTGCATCTCAGCACCAGATAGTCTAATAAATACCCCAGCTCTACTGGGAGGTGAAATATTAACTGATGAAACAAACAAACAGGAGAAGCTGACTGTGGGTAAACACAGTGCTAGACTTTTTCTTAGGATTTTGATTGGGAGAATGATGAGGCGACATAGCAGTTTACAGTAGCGTCTCTGTGGACTGACGCACTCCGGCACCACAGTCATTAACTTGTTGGTTGCTGAGGTGAGAGGTGTGTACAGCTCTGGGGAGAAGGCTTTATGTGCTTCATCTGCCTTAGCTATTAGCCTTACCACAGCTTGAACAAAGACTGACTCCATTTTGAGTATTTTTCTCACCCACATTCCCAACCCCCAATGTACACAAGCAGCAGACAGACACACAACACTGTGGACACACTCAAAGTGACTGATGCATACATGATGTGCATTCAACAACAATGCGTTGTATGTGCACAAATACCTTACTATTGCATTGTTACACCAGCTCATCTAACAGATTGATATGGAATGATGTAAAGAAAAAGACCTGTGTTTGGATGCAAGAGTCTGCTACTGTGGAGTGTCATGATTTGACAAAGCACCTTTGGAGAAATAACAAGCAAAGACAGTCAAGCATGCTTTTATATCCATTTCCTGCATTTAGGCAAGCGGTGCTGGGCTGATGAGATGAAATACTTAGTTAAAAGGTCGTAATGGAATTGAATGAAATTACCTCGAGTCAGTGCCCCAGTGCATGGCATAGATTTTAGCCAGATGCCCCCTCAGTGTCCGTCTAGTGCGCATCTGAATTCGGCCAACAGGGTCAATGTTAGCTGTGATCTAAATGAGATTCAATCAGAAGAAAAAGTCACCCTGAGAAATATGTTTTTCTGCTGTTTGAACAAAAACCTCTAGTAGTTAAGCTTACTTAGGTGGCACTTCTATTTGATAAAGACAAAGATATGACAAAAACATAAGGAATGGAGTCTTTTCAAATCGTTCACTCCAACTTCACCTGCAGCTAAAAACATTTAATTGTATATTTTATCATAACTAAATAACAATGTTGAGTTATGATCAGGCCCTGCAATGGACCAGCGACCAGTCCAGGGTGTACCCCGCCTTTCGCCTGATGTCGGCTGAGATTGGCTCCAGCCCACCTGCGACTCCGTTTGGGACTAAGCGGTATAGAAAATAAGATAGACAGTTATGATCATAGCATAAACATATTTCTTACCTGAGACAGGGTAGCATCCGCACACGCTTTCCTGGCATCCTGAAACACAGCAGCCATTAGTTGGTGAAATTAGTCTTTATAACACAAAGATTTGGTGATAAGATGAAGTTTATATTTACAGATGACAGTGTCACCATAATTCTCACTCAGTTGCAAATAACTTATGTTAATGGAAAACCCTGTAAAAGCTTTAACAGACAGCTAAATGTCACAGCAGTTACCAAGGAAATGTTGTACATTGTCTCATGATGGAATCCCACAACTGCCTTTGGTGGCTGATCTACAGCATTTCAAGGAATACGATCCTTTGAGCCAGTCAAGACAATACTGATTAAGGCTTTTCCATAACCAAGCACTTAACCAACCTGTTTTGTAGTAGTACTTTAACCAGCAGTCTAACTTTGACTAAATGTTTTTTTTTTTTTTTTGCGCTATATCTTTATAACAGTGTTAATTAAGAAGCTTAGTGAAAAGTCTGCTTTCATCTGCACCAATTAGAATATCCGCCTCTCAAACACTAAACCTGTTAATGAACAAAATGCCTATGTATTTGTCCATTAACAGGAAAAATATACAGGGAGACTTGATAACAGTGAAGGACTTACTCTGATCTGGTTCTTGAGCTGCTCAGCCTCCTGGCGTAGCTGATCCAGTTCACTCATTTTCCTCTACTAATGGTGTGCTTCGCTCCGCTGCCTAGACTCTTGCTGATCTAAAGGAGATAAGTGATAAAGCGGCTCAACATACATAACACATACTGCTTATTTCTGTGCGTTAGTAGTACAATTAAGTAACTTAAACTGTTTTTTTTCCTCTGAATTCCAGTACACCCAATTGCATGCAAGATATTGACCAAGTGTTAAAAAGAGAATTTGTTTAGTCTTTGATGATATTATGGATAGAATTACTTCAACAAAATGCAGCTGCGGCTCAGTGTCTCTTAAATCTAATCTTTAAGAGGCAGACAAAGTCACAGGGAATCACAACAGACCAACACTTTCTAGATTGCTCAAGACTTGTCCTTGCCAACTTCAAACTGTTACCTAGCAACAGGCACTAGGCAGCTAACTTTAGGCTTAAGATAAAAATTTTGAGGATGTTAAGTTTATGTTCTCTCTCCCATCCCTAACAGCAGCAAACCCTTGGGCAAACATCTGGACACACTAAGATGCTGATAAACATTCCTCAACAGCCAGACCAAGTAAATAATCAAAAAGGTCATTAAAAAAAAACGACAACAAAAAACCTCAATCATAAGGGACCAAAACATATCCTCTACTGACTGTCAAAACAAAGCAAGGATTAAGAGTCCAAATAACAAAACAAAAAAAACAGCAAGGCAGACCAAGAGACCAGCTTGAGTTTCGTTACATTACTGGAACCCCAAGGAGGCCAGCTGATGGGCAGGGTCTGCTAAAGCTGTCAATTCTCTGGCCTCTAAACTCTCCTCCAATGTCATCCTTGTAATCCTGGGACACAGTTGATTCAGCTCCTCAAGCTAAATCCAGTTAATACAAAACCTGCTGATGATCCTAAACGCAGTGGCTATCCTGCCCCTGACCCCAATCCACTGGTTGACGCTCTTAGCACCGACACTTTCACAATCCATAAAAAGAAAACATTCTAGATATAAAAATACTATTGTAACAATAATGAACTCTGGCTTAAAGGCTTGGAAGCACCCTTCACATTGATTGAAGATGCATTGTAGCTGGTAAAATCATTACTATTTAATTGTTTTAGAAGTCACAGCTAGTCAGCAGAAAATACTCTGCAAAGTAACAGTTAATACATCTAGTCAATTAAGGAACTGTCTTCATTGCATGCTCTCTCTCTCTCCTCTCACTCAAGGACCAATTATCCACACAATTTTAGAAATTAAGCTTTGTTAAAAGAAACACTAACATCCTGCCCATCTGACAAGCTAACCACAATATCATTTGTATGGTAAACAATCCTTACCTCCCTGTTTCAATATATGTTCTCTCTCCTGGGAGCGTTGAAATGTTCTGAATGAATACCTTATCTTTCAAACGCCTGACATCTCAGTAGCAACCAGCCATCTGATTGGTTGGCGGTGCTAAACAGGTCTGCATCTAAGCAAGGCGCTTTAACCCCCTAATCTTGGTTCTGAAAAACATCTCATGCTAATATCACTGGCTAATTCTTATCCTTTCTGTACCATCACTCTGCATAATGATAATGAAACCCACCTGTGGACTTTTCAACAGTTATCAGCAAATATTCCCAAATGCATACCAAACTGTAACACCTGAACATTCAAAGAAGGTGCTTTGGGCCAAGGAGAGAGTCCCACAGGTTGATTAAGCATATAGGTTCAACTTTATATACTGCAGTGTATGAATGAATCTCCAACACTCCTACTCTATCATTTGTGTTCAAATTATTACAAACATCACAGCTGAAGTAACATTTGATGATGGCACAATTAAGCTTTACCATAGGAGTGTTGAAGCATCACAGTGAGTAGTGTGACAGAGCACTTGGCATTCAGACACAGCTGATGAATTTTTTTTTTAACACCTAAGAAACTTAGGTGTCTGTTGTCAAGTGTTCTTTGTAAAAAAAAAAAAAATAATAATAATAAATAAAAAAAGGAAAGAAAAGACTGTGTTGACCTTCTGATAAGTTTGCCCAACTCTGCAAAGGGTCACAGATCCTGCTCTCCAAAACATACATGGCTCCTGATGTAGAGCTTTGCCATGGACCATGAACTACAGTATGATGGTGAAGTCTGCAGTGCACATGTGCACAGTTGACTCTTGCATAATTCAGATGCCATAAAAGGTTATTGGCTTTTTGGAGCTTTTGGGGCAACATTTTTTAACCAGTATGCAGGTCTGGTGTTTTGTAATAAATAAACCTGTCACCCAGTGCAGCGGTGCGTTTTCACAAATGTGTTTTTTAATCATTTTTAAACAACACACAGACAAATAAGCTAATCCAGGCTGGAGACTGACAGACATTAAATGTGAGTAGAGGCAGCTCATTCATGGTTTTAGTCTCTGTATGGGGATCGTTGAAAACACTATTAATATAAAAAGTGAATGACCTTATCCTTTAAACAAGGGGCATGTTGTGGGGCTCAGCATTCGAGTACAACCAAAGCAAAAAAAGTGTTCCAAGGGTGTATGAATCCACATTGGGTTTTAGTGGAACAAACAAAATCTAACATATTAAATCAAATTTGGTTTAAAACCTGACATCAAAAACTGCAAGAAGTCTGCAATCTATTTACAATTACACGGGTTTGACAACCTTTCTGGTGATGCCCTACTGTGCCTGCACTGCAGCTATCTTTACCTTTCTTTTTTAGGGGATTTCTGGTCATCACTTTTGGCTGAAGTCAGGTGATTGATGCAGCCTGTCAGGAACACTCCACTGGTTGGGCCTTTAAAAAAAAGACTCAATTTCAGACAGCTTTGAATTGCAAATCTGTGTTTTACGGGTCTCTTCAGTGCTCATTAATAACCTGGCCTCTAAAATGCTATAATCTTTAAGATCTAGCAAATTTGAAAATGATGAAATTTAAAAGGTATTTCTACTGATAAAACAGCATGATAAGGCAGTTCTTGTAACTGGTGAGGTGCAAATCAGAGGACCTTTTTTTTTTTTTTTTTTAATGATGGTGGGAGTGCTGAAACCACTGGCAGCCCAACAGATAGAGCCTCCACTTTTGCCAGCTATTTTGAGAGAGGTGGTGGGGGAGGAGAAGGAGAAAGAGGAGGAGGGAAACAGTCTTCACATTTTCCAGCCACTCCTATCAGCTCCGACATCTCAAGCACAACACAGTGACAAGGAGAGAGAGGAAGTGTAATTTGACTCCACACACACACACACGCGTACACGCACACACACTTCACTGGTATTTATCCTTCCCATACAGCAATGATTGTGCATGCACCATTCATTTTCACACCATGTTGGCTAGATGAGCTGCTTAATCAGAAAACATTTTTGCCAGTGCCTCTTAATATGGGGCACGTGATGTGAAAATAATGTCAGTGGACTCTCTCTACAAACGTTATTTCCAAGAAAAGATTCACAAATAACGGCAGTGATTTCTTTGGACTGCAGAAAGCAAAGGTTAAGAATTTCAAATTCATTTTAAATAGTTACCCGTGTTAAATTTTAAATTAGTTTAACCCTAAACAAATTCTCATATAGTTTTGAAGCTATGAACATTGAGGCTAATGTGAATGATAATTTTTATATATTTAAAGACCTGAGGATAACTTCATGTAAAACAAAACAAAAAATTATACATAAACCCAGAGCAACAGGTGTGAATAGACAGTAATCACAAAATGTCTAGTGGGGCTAGGGTAGACAATAAGCCCCACCCTGTTGACACAAGAAGTGGGGAGATGTTCAGCGAGATGTTCTTTTGCACAAGAGGATAGATGCAAGAGAGGCAAGCTGGAGGACAGGGCCGGATTTAACTAATGAGAATGAACAAGCATTGGACAGTTGGGAGAGGAGCTGCTAATTAACCCCTTGGTGAAGGGAAGCAGGCTCAGTAAGCTTCCCAGCATTCAAGACTGAGGAGAGGAAGCCTCCACTTACTTTGCACAGAGTTTCTTCCCAAAAACAGAGTTTTTCTGCCAATTATAACCTCAACAAGTGTGCATATACAGTACAAAACACCATAAATATCGTACAGCAGTCAGCATAGAAAAAGCTACATAATATAATGCAATCCACACAATATGCCTGCAAAAAATAATTGGCTATAAAATGTATAATGCTCATTTAAGTTCAAAATTTAATGTGGGGTAATCTACTTGTGCCTGGTCCCAAATTGCCTGATCCATGCCTTGCCTCAGACATCATTGATTCCCACACATTTTTTTTTTTTTTTTAATAGTTGCACGTCGCAAAAACTCACATCAAACTCTGCATCTGCGGTGCTGGAGCCATGGTGGAGACAAAGAAGCAGCTCAAAGTGTGGCAGCAGTGCTATGTGAAATGTCTGAAAATGATCATTTTAAATAATTGTGTAAACACCCAGCAATATGTTCACACATCTCTAGACGCAAACCGGACTAAAAGTCTGGGAATGTCATGTATTTGACACTTTACAAGTGCCACCTCTTTCTAACCAAGCATCACATCCATTAGCAAGGGAAACTATCCTGTTATAATAACATTAAGGCCACATGGGCAGGCTTAACAGCTTTTCTTCTCAAAAAGCCTAAAAAAAGATTTATGCTATACAAATGTTCCCTCATTTAATCTATTTTAGATAGTGACAGCAGACTGTTGCTACAGATAGCTCTGAGGCTACAGCTAGCTGCGCTCTCCCACCATCTTCCAGCTGGTAAAACTCCTTCCTGCTGCTTCACAGAGAGGTAAAATGAATAGTGCAGTCCCCAAATTTGTAGTTTTTTTTCTTTAAGCCTTTCATAGCCTTAGAATAACCAGAGAAGCAGAATAAATAATGGCACTGATACCAATAAAGTTGTATCATTTCCCATTCCTGTCTCCTTTATAGAACATGTTCAGATTAATCAGGCTGTATCTGAAAATGCATCTTTTTTCCTGATTAGGCCTTCTTCAAAGTCAAAACTGGTCTTTAATGGACTTTAAGCCTTTATTTATGAGACAAAATCTAATCACATTGGAACACATGTTCAGTCTTTGGGAAAACTGATAGAACTACCAATGCGCTCATCCACCAACAGTACACACACATGAAATTACTTCTGTAATTAAAAACAAGTTAAAATTGCTGACAATCTAATCTTGGCATTTAAAAATGATGACATATGCTGGAAATTACAGTGAAGGACAGAGTTCATAAACAAACAAATTGTAACAAAGAGCTTGAACCGATATAACTGTCAGCTAGTAATGTGAGCAGGGTCATTTCAGTTTTCAAACTAAATTGTTTTTGTTTCATTTGTGATGTGAGGGCTCATGTAAATGACGGAAAATGTCCAAGACAAAAAAGGGGACTGGAATATCCCTGCTGATAAAAAGTGTATGTGAATGTAATGTGTGTACAGCAGTACGTAATCAGTTATTACAATGTATTCAGTGTTAACGATCATGATTATTATTTGTTTTACATATTGCCCAGCTGTGAAACAGACAGCCAGCCATGTATTAAGCACAAAGTAGTGCTCAAAAGGTGGGGTAGAAATGGTGGCCTTAATAATTTACACCCTCCTGTTGAGATACCAGCTGCCCCACCCCTTGCCTTCATGAATGCTGCTTCCCGTCTCCTCCATCTCACTGTCCCTTCTAACTCATTTCTCTGTGGGACCTTTTGTTCTAGTGCTTCAGAGTGCCATTTAGGTTGTGGCTGACTCGCTGCTCTTTGAAGCATACACTATGAAGTACAGCAGGATGTAGATGGGCCTGGTCTTTGTTGCAAGTCAGTAGTTTGTGGCGGTGCCTCAGCTACTGATCATCTGTGTCAGCATGCTGTCTCCACCTTAACGTGAGTGCCTCTCTAAGCAGTCGCTTCCTTTTTACGGGTGTTTCCCTAGCTGTGCTTGTCTCTCTCTTCCCTTTGTCAAAACATTCAGCGGATGTGGCAACAGCACACACACTTTACAAATACACTCTGTGGTTTCTGCTACTATCATTGCACTTGTCAGTGTCCATCCAGATTTTGAATCAGGCTATGCAATCAGCTACATTACAAGAAGTTACAAAGGACATGCTGACAGGCTGGCTTATGTTAAACAAACACATGTAAGGATGATAAAAATAAAAAAAAAACAAAGCTGAGATTTTAAACTAAATTAGGTCAGTCAAACTTACATTAGGTCCAGTCTGTGCATAACAAATAAGACTGACTGGACACAAGAAGCTGAGAACACTGAGGATGCCATGAGATGAGTCATTTTGTTAAGCTATAGGGAGTAGATTACTGAATGCAAGAGGGAACCAACAGGTAGGCAACAGTAACAACAAATAACCCGATACCTTGAAAAGCAATTACAATTTACTATATTTGACAAAAATGTTGATTTATGCATGTCTATGAAAGTACATTTAATGTGGAAAAAAAAATTCCTAAAATATAGTGTTTAGCGTACAAAGTGTAAAGAGTAACTGGATTTGTGTATAAGATGAGATACTCTGTACTTGTGAATTTAGTCAACTTAAATGCTAGCTTACACATTCATCCCATTTGCTTTGGAAGTGGAGTTTGTGAGAGTAACATTTTCTGTGTGTGTGCTTGGTAGCCTGTGGTCTCTTCAAACTGACAAAGGGTCAATACTACTGACTTTCTAAAAACTTTGTGTTCTCAAATGGGGGCTTTAATAATTATACCTATGACCTTTGCTTTAAACCAGTATGCTTTAAAAAGATTCTGATGATAAGTATGAGCTGTGCTTTTCCCCTAATGCTGAGGAGTTTAACACATTACTTTTATAGTATTTTGCCAAAGAGATAATTAGTTTCAGCTGTGATTTTGTCAAAAGACACATTTATTTAGGTGTCTGCAGTGTATTATCACACACAACTTCAGACAGCAATGTGTTCTGCAGCTCTGTGTATGTGCATACTTTCAGTTAGAGATAAACATCACGTGATTTGAAAATACAGGCTGTGTGAAAGAATATGACTGTAGTTCCAAGACAATATATGTGTGAAACAAATAGCAATCTGAAAGCTAAGGAAAAACTATTTATCCCGTAGCTACTAATGTGAATATACACATCTTCAGCTCAGGGCGGAGAAACCTCAAACGCAAATACGAGATTAATGAATCGCATTCTGTTTATATAAGCCATTAGGTTCTGTGTGCAAGAATGATTTAGTTCATGCCTTGTTTCCAAGTGTCTTTTTAAAAAAATATATATTTAAATGGTCACATATGTTGGAACTAGGTCAATGTCAGAAGGGTCATATGGCAAATGGTTGCAAAACTATTCCTGGTTTACAATGAGACTGCACTTACAGATCTTGATAGAACTAGAATGGCTTTAGCAAAGCACTCAGAGAGGCTACTTTGTTTCTTCTTCTTCTCCCCATCAAAAAGAAGAAAACTCTGCAATATTTAAAAGCATTCTCTGACCCCTGTGCTTTCTCATGCAAAAATCTTAACTATGCTCCGCACCTTGAGTCTAAGTCACAGCTTATTCACAAACAATATGACCAGTCAGTAATGTAAAATATAAAATCTAGCAGTTTATAAACCATAGGCAGGCCTGATCCAAACCTCTACCTTTCTGCCTTCTGTTGAAAATGTATTCAAACTTCATGCTGGGGATAGAGATGAGTCCACCCAGTCCAGACCTTCCTGCCACATCTCCTTGCTTTACTAATGTAAGTAGCCCTACTTAACTAAATGCAAGGATGGATAAGTACAACAATCAGATCACCCTGTGTTGGCAGTTATTCAGTATGAAATAACTCAGATTTCAATCTGAG